CCCCCGGCCCTTGAGCCCTGCTGGGTCTTTTAACTATTTCTTGATTCCATTTCTCCCTTTCCATTCCCACTGTCTGGCTGGAGTGCTCATCATCTGTCTCCTGCAAGATTCTATCCACATTCCCACCTGACCTTTCTACCTCTGTCTTATCAAACCCACTTTTCCCAATAGCTGTCAGTGTGGCCCATGTAAAATGCAGAAGTGATGGGGTGACCCTGTGTCTTCCCATTGTCTGCAGGCCAAATCCCAGGCTTCTTAGGGAGGCTCTGTAATCTCACTTTGCTGACTTTTTGAGCACAATTGCACTGAGTGAAGTTCCAGTGACACACACACTGCCTCTGGCCTGTCCCTTCTGCCTTGAATTCCCCTCTTCACCTCTTTCCTCTGGTTAATGCCATATCTTTCAAGTGTAAGCTCAGATTTCCTTTCCTTCCGAAATCTTTCTTCGACCTCTGCTCCTCTCGAAGAATTTTTCCTTTGTGACCACCTAATTTCCTAGCACACCCATGTTCCTATATTTTACTCCCTACACTGCATCATAATTACATTTATGTGTGTCTCTTTCATGAGACTCTCAGTTCCTAGAGGGCAAGGACTTTCTTACCCATCTCTGTATCTTTAGCGCATACTCTGTGCTCCAACATTTGAATAAATTAAGGCGTTGCTTACAAAACTAAAAACTAAAAGTAATGACAAATGTTTACATGTTCTTTTTCCATTACCAAGTGAGTGACAGCAGGCTATGTTGTCTTATTGGGTCAGTTTCCATTAGTTTTCTATGAACTAAATATTGTCTCATCTCCCTCCTTACCCAGCATAAATCTCACGGGCAGTCATTTTATTACCATCTTTATGTACCATCCATACCCTGCACTTCCTTGCTTCATCCTCTTCACTGGGCTCAAAACAAGGTTACGTGCAGCTCTCCACTTGTTCCAGGCCTGCACCCAGGCAGCTGAATGTGGCTGGAGGAAACAGACTACTTCTGGGTCTCATTTTAAATTCCTGGTCAGGACCCTCTGGGGGGGCTCTTCGTGCTGCTGAGGAGTCCAGCTCTGCTCCCTCTCTGCTGACCTCCAGTCCTCCTTTCTCCACTTTCACTCTGAGCTGATGACATTTCTCCTTATTTTACTGAGAAGATTGAGGCAATCAAGAGAACTTCTATAAGGTCCCGGCACTGTCTCTAACCACCCCCTGCGTCTGCATCCATGGTCTGCCTTTGTTCCTGATGCTGTATGCAGGTGGACTGTGTCTCCTCCCTGGGGCCAGCCCTCTCTTGCCTGTTCAAGGGTGTTGTTCTGGTGGTTCTCTTTCCTGCATTATCACTTTTCCCTCTTTGTACCTGATCATTCTAATCAGCATACAAACTTGCTGTTATTCCTCCCATCCAAAAAGTAAAAAATAAAACTTAATAAGTGGCTGATTATAGTTCTGTAGCAGGAAATGCAAGGAAGCTATCGAGGATGACTGGGTTTGTGTCAAAAGTCCATTGACAAAAGATAGACAATTTAAACATCAATAATGATGATGGCATGGGTTTAAATACATCGGATATGTTTAATACATGAGTTCATGATACAGCAACACCAAAGTAAACCCAATCTGTCATCTTTGGAGGATACTTAGAAACCACCTCTTTGAAATCTGGGTTATAAAAGGGGAGAGAGCAAAATTTATCCTGCCTTTCCTGTTCAAACAATTCCTCTACAAAATGAATAACCAAGTAGTAATTGAGAGAAGCTTACTCAACAAATAAATGCAAAACGAATCTAATAAATTAAGGATCTGGGCATTGAGTATTTGTGGTTGCTCACATCACAAAAATAGAGCCTACCAGATATTACATCCTCTTGATGAAAAACACCACCACCACCTCTGAAATACTCTTGTTCAAAAAATCAGACTCAAATCAAACAAATTTACAGGAGATACAGAGCACAGAGGAACATGTCAAACTATACAAATGGCATAATCAGCCAAATCTAGATTGTGGGAAACTACAGGACAGATGATTTGTTTCTTCCCTAAATTGCAGGAGAAAAAAAAATTAAATAAATAAATACAGGAAACTGATAGATTAAAAGAAACTTAAGGCTTCCCTGGTGGCGCAGTGGTTGGGGGTCCGCCTGCCGATACAGGGGACATGGGTTCGTGCCCCGGTCGGGGAGGATCCCACATGCCGCGGAGCAGCTGGGCCCATGAGCCATGGCTGCTGAGCCTGCGCGTCTGGAGCCTGTGCTCCGCGGCGGGAGAGGCCACAGCAGTGAGAGGCCCGCGTACCGCAAAAAAAAAAAGAGAAACTTAAGACATCCTACATACCCTTCACCCAAATAAACAAACAAAAACTCCCAAAACAAAACCACAGGCAAGATGATAAGTCTGTGAGCTGAATATTTTGGTGATAAAAATCGAGTAACTAGGGCTTCCCTTGTGACGCAGTGGTTGAGAGTCCACCTGCCAATACAGGGGACATGGGTTCGTGCCCCGGTCCAGGAAGATCCCACATGCTGTGGAGCGGCTAGGCCCGTGAGCCATGGCCGCTGGGCCTGAGTGTCCGGAGCCTGTGCTCCGCAACGGGAGAGGCCACAACAGTGAGAGGCCCATGTACCGCCAAAAAAAAAATCGAGTAACTAGTTGAGGGAGTGATTGCCAGAGTCAGGAGAGTGGTTACTGCTGGGTGGCCTGTGTTTGGGACTTGGCCTGTGGTGGGAGTCTGGGAGCTGTGACAGCAAGGAGGGAGCCTGCAGCTCGCCCACCTGCATCACTGTGGCCACCTCCTCACATGTTTTCTTGCTTTTGGCCTTACCCCACTGCTAGGAATTCTGTTAAAACCTAAGTCAGATCACTAGTACTTCTGCTCAGCACTCTCCAGTGCCTTCCCATCTCACTCAGAAAAAGCCAGAGCCTTTTTGGAACTTAACCTGTGAACCCCAGCTGCTCTGCCTCCCTCCGGTTACTTCTTTTTTTTTTTTTTTTTGCAGTACACGGGCCTCTCACTGTTGTGGCCTCTCCCGTTGCGGAGCACAGGCTCTGGACGCGCAGGCTCAGCGGCCATGGCTCACGGGCCCAGCCACTCCGCCGCATGTGGGATCTTCCTGAACTGGGGCACGAACCCGTGTCCCCTGCATCGGCAGGCGGACTCTCAACCACTGTGCCACCAGGGAAGCCCCCGGTTACTTCTTTAATCTGTTACTTCTCTCACTTTGTCTCCTCCTGCTTCATCCCTCCTTCCAGCCCCTCTGGCCTCCTCCCTGCTGCCCCTGTAGGCCTTTGCACTTGCTCTTCTACTTGCTAGGAATGTTCTTCCCCCTGATATGTATTCGGTTATTCCCTCACCTAAGTCACCTTCTCAGTGAGGCCTTCCCTTTCTACCCAACTCTCTTACTTCCTGATGTTTTTTGTCTCTCTTTCCTGCTTTATTTTTTCCCTTAGTGTGTATCTCCAACTAATATACTAGATATCCTACTTTTAAAAACACCTCTTGCTGCCTATCTCTTCACTTGAATGTAAGTTCTGTGAGGGTAGGGGTTTTTCTCCCGTGCTGTTGGTAGATACTTGGATGTTTGTAGAATTGATGGACATTATGGGGAATGGTCAACTGACATTAAGGTCCTACTGAAACTCCTGGAACACCTGGCAGGTTAGAAGTAGCCTCAGAAATCCCTGAGACAGGAGTTAGAGGAGGTCTCCATCTAAGAGCTATTAACAGGAACACTGAGGTGACATGCAAAAGACCGGATTACTCCAGTATTCCCAGCAGAGTGCTCTGTAGACTGTTAGGAAATCCAGAGGTAAAGTTCTAAGTTAAACCAGGAAAAGGCTGTCTGTGATTTCTGTTATCAGGAGAGATGAAAAGTATCACTGAATTTTGCTCATTGGGCAGCACTCTGTCTAGCAACAAATGGTCAAAGTGGTAGGTGCATGCATCTAACACCTTGCACATTTTCATAGTATCACACTCAGGACTGAGTCAGATGTCAAACTGAATTACATACTGTCCTAATGTTACATGTCAAGATAAGAAACATTCAGTATAAGCTGCCACTGAAATGGTCTGGGATCCTCTTGGGGATTACCCATGAAGATTGCAGACTGAAGGATGCAGATGAGAAATAATTTTAGGAAAAAGTGAAACATAATTTTTAAGTTTCAGAATTTATGGGGTCAAAACCAAGCAGGATTACATGTACTATAGTGTTAATACAATGTAGATGAGGTATTTCAGGGCTGACCTTATGTGGTTGCTTCTCCTGAAGGATACCTACCAGTTCAGACTTCTCTCGGTCATATTGGTTCAAAAAGTTGGATCTCTTAGTTCATGGTAAACAACCCTCAAGAAACAGATTAATAAAATATTGCCTCATTCATTTTACACATTGCATGTAGAAACTTAGCACATAGAGAACATTACCTCACATTTTAACCTACAGTACTTTAATACAATCTAGTAAATTCTAACTTTACTATTTTTCAATAATTATATATGAATTGCATGAATACATATAGATTGTCTGCTTCATGACAGCATAAGGAGAGGAAGACTGAGATTTCTTAGTAGCCAGTTAATCTTTTCCTTGATTCTTTTTAAAGCTTTAGCCCCAGAAAGGAACCTTTCCCAGTTTATGGTATCTTGTCATCCTCATAATCATTTGCTCCCAGATTTTTCATCTTTGGACTCCATTTTACCCTGAGGCCTACTGACTTGAAGATGGTGACCTAATGAATGAAATATAATGGTAGATACCTGTGAAGGGTGAGCCACTTCTGTCTGCACAATTCAGAAGCATCAGCTAGCTTATCACCTGTATTTAATAAGCATAACTTCAGCAAACAGCAAGTGTGTCATAGAAGCAAACCAAAGTTTCACTTTTACCTACAGGCAGTAGAGAAGGAGCATCTGGCCATGGTTCTGACGTGTCACAGCTCTCCACGAAGGCATCATATTGTGTCTATGAGGTGGAATATTTAGAGACACTCACCCCGCTGTTTAACTTGATCCCTCTACCTGTTAGTTGTACTGATGTGTGCATTTCTGTCCCATGTTTTAGGTGCTCATGTGACTATCACGGATCGAAAAGTAGCATTAGAGTTTCTTAAATCAAACGTTCAAGCCAACTTACCTCCCCATATCCAGCCCAGAGCTGTTGTTAAGGAGCTGACTTGGGGACAGAATTTGGGGAGTTTCTCACCTGGAGAATTTGACCTGATACTTGGAGCTGATATCATTTATTTAGAAGAAACATTCACAGATCTTCTTCAAACATTGGAACATCTCTGTAGCAACCACTCTGTGATTCTTTTAGCTTGCCGAATTCGCTATGAACGGGATCACAACTTCTTAGCGATGCTTGAGAGGCAATTTACTGTGAGTAAGGTTCACTATGATCCTGAAAAAGATGTGCATATTTACAAAGCACAGAGGAGAAGCCTGAGGGAGGACTTATAGTTGGCTATAATTTATAAGAATGTTGTCACTGAGTGTGTCAATTAAGGTCTTAGACTGGGAATATAACCATATGTAATGAAATGGCTTACTGTACAAAAAGTCTAACCAAAGGTTCTCAAAAGGCAAAGCAAATGTGCAGTTTTAAAACAAAGCACTTTGTCCCATTGCTGTGACTTTTTAGTTTTGTTTTACTCACTCTGAAATTCAATTAACATTAAAGGAAAGTGTGCGATTTTGGTTTATGTTGTTTCTGTATCCCATACTGCTCCCTCTCAATAAACAATTTTCACTGATGCTGTGATGAAGGGTTGGTAGAAAGGCATCTTCAAAGCAGTGAGCTTGTTTTGGTGAGGCTGGATCCTGCAAATCATTTAAAACACATTGTAAGACATATGTTTAGCCCACTTCTCTAATTTTCTGAGTATAGAACAAGAGGTTTGGGCTTCCCTGGTGGCGCAATGGTTGAGAGTCTGCCTGCCGATGCAGGGGACACAGGTTCGTGCCCCGGTCTGGGAGGATCCCACATGCCGCGGAGCGGCTGGGCCCGTGAGCCATGGCCACTGAGCCTGCGCGTCCGGAACCTGTGCTCCGCAAATGGGAGAGGCCACAACAGTGAGAGGCCCGCATAACGCAAGAAAAAAAAAAAAATCAAAATAAAATTTTAGTTACTTTTTGATATAGCACCTAAAATCTTGGACCTCTGTGTGCTGGGAATAGGTTATCTTCAGATCAAAAGCTAGAGTTTCTCCCTTCAGCTTTACCCTTTGTCAAATGTTGTTTTTGTATTTCTTTCCTAGGCTTTCCCTGCCTCCTTATACTGCATAGGATGACAATGAAAAAAAGTTTTAAACCTCATCCCGCCATGGGAGGTTAGCTCCCCAAGTATAAGCTCCATCTGTATTGTACTGGTAATTGCTTATTCAATGTCTGTGCTCCCCAGAAGACTGTGAGCTTCTTGAGGGCCAGGAATGCTTCTGCCCCTTTCATTATAGCCTCCCCAGTATCTAGTATATCATAACCAAATATTTGTTGATTGAAAAAGATACATTACATTTAGAGGGTATTGATCTCTGGGTTAATTGATTGCTACATTGTTTTATGATTATCTTTGATAGACTTTGTGAAGTCATACACATACCCTGCCCTTTTTTTACAATGTAAAAGCTTAACAGCTTAAACAGATTGAGATCCAAAGAATATTATAATCTCAGTGTGGTATTTGGTACTAGAGATAGATTTCCTTCGTAAACCCTTAGAAACAAGACCTCCTCCCTCTTAACCTTTCAGTGAATATTTTGGATGTGGAAACACCAAATAAATTGTTTTCTACACATATTTTAAAAAGAGCTTTGGCTTTAATAAAGGTGAATTTAAAGTTCTGAGATTGTGATGTACCAGTTCAACACAATTCTGATAAATGCACATGAAATTGAAATATCTGCAGCTTACTGAATCCATAAAATGCCAGTACTGCACCGTAGGCATGGAAGGTCTTTTAAAAAAAGTAAAATAAAAGCCCTGTAATATCAACAACACTATAATGAAAGACTAATCCCATCTAGGTATGATATTAGAAATGAAGATACTAATTGGAGTTAAGCTGCTTTCCTTTAACATCCCTAACTTTGGAGAGAGGTATTAGAATGTCTTGGGGTGTCCATGGGGTGGGCGGGGAGCCTGGATGCTCTACCAAGTGAAGGAAGCAGTGATCGGCTTCTTTTACATTTTCATAAAACAGTAAGACTCAGAAAAGGTTGAAGGTAATTCTTTCCCCTTGGCCTACAAATAGAAGAGGTGAGAAAAATTCAGCAG